AAGCATTTTTGATGCCTACTTACCCATATGCAAGTTTGCAAAATCCGAAACACCGCCTCGCCGCCAAGTTGTCGCATCTCGACGCTGTGGTCACCACGCGTACTTGGTTTATCATCACATCGAAAAGCTCAACTATAGATTGTACCGTAAATAGGGGTTGCAGCTGCTCTACATGCGCCAAAGCTACTAGCAGTATGCAGCTACACCAGCCACACCAGCCACACCAGCCACATTCCACGGCAGCCAAGACGGGACACATCTTCAACTCTCTCTCCGGAATGCACTGCATCGAGATGAGCGTCCACATACTGCACAATGCCGTAAAGGCGATCAAATTTCAATTCAGATCAATGTTTTGACGCGACAGAAATCAAGCTCACCACAATGTATCCAAAGTATGTGTATACCGACGCAGACACAAGACTTCCAAACTTGACTTGACAAAGATATTTACACAAGGGCATCTGTACCAAAAGCATAATAATTTTCAACGGCTTAAGCACCCCGTTCGCTAAGACAATCAGTATAGGACTATTTTATCGATAAGCATATCCAAATCTTGCTCCAGAGACAAATCCTTTCGCAAAGAGTATCCATGTCAGCAAAATTTCAACTGCAAAATTTTCTGATGCGATTCATCTGGATGAGTTGAAACGATGAAGGCTCGCAAATCGCTCTGTCTTTCAAAGTACACTCTAACAACACTTTCCTTCGATGTTTGCGAGAAGCCTCCCGGAAGACGGCTTCTGGCGTAAAGGATTCTACAACCATCAATTGCACCGTGATCTCACCCTCGCTATAGACGGGCTTCGAGATGGGCTCCCAGAACGTCTTTAGAGCTCGCTTCAGCTCGCGTTCCTGTTGAATTCCCGCAAGAATGTGAATGACCACCCAGAAATGTGGTGCTAAGAGATCTTGCGCAAGCTGCAACACCGGCAATACGTCGAATCGAAACCATTCGTCGAGGGTTACCTGGTCGCCCAACAGCCGAGGCTCGTAGCGAAGACGTCGTGAGATCAGTTCGAGTTTCTTGAGCTTCGGGTGATGCTTTCGGATGTGCAGCATGGCGTACACGAAAGCTGCGCTGATGTGAAGACGCGAATACCACAGAACGATCGAGAGCGAAGAGAGGTTCGGAGCCGCCGTCATCAGACTACATTCTTGCTTGCCATAAGCCTGACAGGGTCCATTCGAGAATGAGTTTGAGTCTGAAATCGAGGTGGGAAAGCAAGACGCAGCGAGCTGATCAGGCCGAACCAGGAATAGGTTTGCATAATCATCGACCGAGATACCATAGTTGCCGTCCATGAAAAGGACGTTTTTGAGATGAGGAAATCCAATGCCAAACGCCTCAGAGCCTTGACTGGCAAGCGGAGAACGTACGATACGGTTGAACTGGTGAAAGAGCTGCTTGGGTGCGTCCTGTCCAAACGTATCCGTGATAACACGGATCAAGCCATTGTACCAACGATACCCTTCGACAGGTTCGGCAGACAAGGCTTCTAGTAACTTGGAACAGGTGAGGTCCAGCGGAAAAGGCTTTGTTCCGTCGAAAGCGCGATAGGAACAGCCAAAGTGTCCTTCCTCATCACCTGCATTCAAAACAAGGTCACCCCACTCGAGCGATTCGAGAGAGGTGGCACCAAGGCAAACCCGAGAGATATGAGCGATCCAAGCGTACACGTTTTCGCCCCGCATACGGTTTGTACACCTTTCCGACAGCTGATTGAAGTCGATGCGTAGGTGTCGAAGTTCTGCTAAGATAGGAGCAAAGTTGAGTGAGCACATTGCAGCCAAATCTTGGTCTGTCATGGAATCATTATTGTCCTGGGACAGAGAAAGGCTAGGGAGCATGATTGGTGCTAGTACGTGCAGGAATCGCGTGTGAACGGTTGGCAGGCATCTGGTCAGCCACAGCATACATTTAGTAGGGCAGTCAAAAGAGCATTTCTGGTGGGAAGAGAACATGCAAATCTTCATATGCGGTCCAGTGCACTCGAACACAATGAAATCGAGAACGTATTGAAAGATTTCGGGAGGAAGGTCAAAGAGGCCATTGCTGGTAGCTGCGTCAGTCGGGTGATTCATGTCGACATGGTTGTCGTTTGAGTCGGACTTCTGTATAGTGATGGGAGCGAGATAGAACAAGAAATGAAAGAAGGAGGAAAGCTGATCTGCTCAGCTTTTTAAAGTGCTCCAGGTCCAATTGCAGGTTGAAAGCAGAGTCGCGACTGCGTAACGACAAAACGCGTTGAAATTGGGGGCGCATCTGCGCAACCAATGCTGATCCCTCCTCATCCGCTCTGTCTCTTTCACTTAACGCTCTATTCCCATTTGAACTTTCCTCTTGATAGTCTTGGATCGCCGTTTTCTTTCTTGACAGTATCATTGTCTCTCCTCTTGATAGTATCATCTCCTTCCGTCTAGGTGGTCTCATCGGCTTCAACACACGAACTTTGTCTCCGACTCCCCGTCAAAGCCTCCTCTTCTAACGCAAACGTCGCTTTGTTGACTTATTAAAGAGCTCGCAAATGCTTGCTCGCTCATTCGTTTCAATGCAGCCTTGCAAACAGACCCTTCATGCGCCGCATTCCCACTAAGTTTTTTTTGGACATTTCATTGCATCCCTCCCTGAGCAAACCTCCTAATAAGTCCTGTAGACGGTGAAAGACAAACAGAGTAGGTTGAGCTGACTTGCAAAAAATACATCGCCTCTGTGTGCTTAGCAGAAAAAAACGATGTCAGACTCGAAGTTGGTAAAGTATCGGTACTGACTAAGATTCCTCATGATGTGATCACGACGTAATTCATGATGCTGCCCATAACTTTGAAGAGCCCAGCTTAAGCCTCACGAGCAGCCTGAGAGAAAGGTGTAGCTTCTAGATTGTCGCCTCGAAAGGACTGAAGAGTGCTCTTGAGCATCATTCTAGCAGGCCGAGTGGTTTTTAGTTGTGGGTTTTGATGATGTGCGCACTGCGCACTGTTCCTATTAGTGATCTTGCCACTCCTGATCTGGAAAAATAATAGGAAGTTTCGGCCCGTTGTTATACTGGTGTCCGGATCGCATCATTTGCACCTCAGACAATGATGATGATGGTGGTGGTCTGGAGCGTCATCTGAGTCGCGCACTTTCGAGCTCGAATAGTTGGGAGGTTCCGAAACGCTATGAGGTTGAATATGAGAATGAGTTTGGCCTCGGCAAAGAGTTCGGTAGGACTCTTGCAGCACCCTGCATGAAGTCATCTCATCCTGTTGCAGAATGTCGTAGAACAAGGCGCACATGTATGTTGGATTCCAATGAAGACAACATACCAACAAAGGCAACATAAATTTATATCATGATTCTGGGCACTTAAACTTACATTGCCTTCAAAGTACCACAAGTAACCCTAACCCTGAATTTTTGGTGTCACACTAAATTGATCAGACAACACAGCAATGTGTATGAATAGGTGCATATTTTTTGCTTTGTGAATGAAAAGATGGCAACATGCTTGTGCCTGCAATTAAACAGATGCTGGTGCAATAATGTTTTGTTCAAGAAGCTCCATCGGCATGAGCTGCATGTTACTGGAGGTGGATTTCAAACCCAGTGAAACACTGTGTTCTATCAGGTTTCAGTTTGACATCTGTTAGAACACGTGGTTTCATCCAATATCAGTGCAATGTCCGCCATATGCAAGTATCAACAGGCCAAGGCAACATAGGGTCTTGAGGATGACACAAGGTCTCCAGCTGGTACAGGAGGCCTGATGGATGGGTGCAACATGATGTAGGACCCTCTGCTGTGTGTGTCATGGTTGCTGACAGCCAGTATTGGTTAGCACAGGGCCCAAGCGCGTGGTTGTCATGGTTGATGACAGTTGGTATTGGTTAGCACAAAGCCCAAGCTCATGGACGTCATGGTTGCTGACAGTTGGCACTGATTAGCGCAGGGCCAAGCTTGCGGACACGTTGACGCTCTGGTGGCCATCAACACCCTGGTGTACAGGGGTCATAGTTGATCAAGGGGAGCCCCTGGAGGGCCATAGGTATATAAGAACACAGTCTTTACAGTTGTGGAGGAGCAGGACTCATCCACTCTACTTTGTATTTACCCAGTCTTTTCTTTACAAGTTGTTCATCAGTTACTCAGTGCATAGTTCTTGTCAACAGCTGCAATCACACGGAATTGCAGCTATGCAGCGTCTGTGTTCTCCTCAGTATAAGGAGACAAACCTCATCAACAATTGTCAGCACCATCACTGACACTACAGCACCTCAACTGTAGGCAGAACCTCAACCGCGGTCACAGAACCTCCACTGGAGCCAATTCATTATCACAACAGCTTCCAGACCATCCAAAGCAGTCCCTGATGTCCCTGACAGTGACCAACACTTGCATCAAGAACACTTGTGCACCGTGAAGGTCTTACAACATACAGACAAGCCGCATTACCTCTGACCGGAGTGTTCACAGTGGCCAGTCAGCTCAAGATTTGCGCAGCGTGTTTCACAGCAAAACACAATAGAACCAGCCTGCTCATCAGGTCTCAAACTCAAACACGCTAAAACAGACATTGCAGCGGATCTCAAAGCTGGAGTTTGGCACATCAACCCCTGACACCCCTTACCTCCAGTATTGCTGCTTTTTTTGCATCAACTCTCCAAGCTCTCCATAACAAATGAAACCATGCATGCACTTTTCTGTCTCATGCAGAGACTCAATGATGCCAAAACATTGTCTTGGAAAGAAACAGGAGCACAGCAAGCAAAATAAGATGGAAGAAAGTCATTGACTACACTTGCCCAGTCAATTCTGCACGGACCTAAACCGGAAAAAATATGACAATTGTATCTGGCACCTGTAGCCACAGTAAAGGAAGACAGCAGACTGCAGCATCCAGCATTTGGGCAGCAGCTCTCTACTGCTCCCTGATGATATCCACCTTTCACAAAATCCAAAATACTGCTGAATCTGCACAAAAAACAGAAAAATTAAAAAACAAAAAAGGTGTCTTCGATGTCGGCAGGGTTTGAACCTGCGCTCGCAATGCGAATTAGTTAGCGACCTGTAAGGCCTTGACTTATAATTCAAGACTAACGCCATAACCACTCGGCCACGACATCACACTATTTTATTAAGGGCAAAGTTAACATATATATCAATATTCGAATGACCAAAATATTTTGTATGAGATAGCGTGCTCCCTGTACGCAGTGGATCCTCCACTTATTTGTCCTGGGTCTGAGAATAGACATCGCAGCACAGACAACACACGCTCCTTCGTAAGGCTCTCTGCTTGCATCTCACCACTTGCACCTAAAGCACGAATCCTATCACATACACACCGAGTGTGCGACCTGCCACAATCATTGCACCGACCGCGAGCTCGTCATCATTCTCATCTACCGTGCACGGCCGCCGGTAATCTCAGCAATTCGCCTGGGCCTGTGCCTAGACAAGCGCCAGACATGGTGCAAGCAAATCACCCCACTGCTGAATGGACGAGTCTGCAAGACAGCTTCTACCGTCGCACTGAGCTCTATGTGCTCAATTGGGGCATCGAGAACCTTGCAGACTACGTTGTTGCGGCATCCAGCAATGGCGGCCTCATAGCTCTTGTCCGCGACCCCACCCGTCTGGTGTCGTTGGGCAAGGCGTCACTCCTCAAACCAAAAATTTTAGTCTACACAGCAGCTGGCCAGCTCATCGAGAGCATCCCATGGGATCCCTCTTTACGCATCGTTGCACTTGATTTCAATGCCCTGGAGCAGCTCGTCGTCGTGCTCGAGGAAGGAAATGTTCGCCTCTATACCCTCCTTTCCCCGTGCCCAACTTCCGCCAACCAAGCCACGAATTCAGCCAATTCGCTCAGTCGACCCGTTCCTGTTGAAGCCACATCCAACTCGTACTATGTTCAACATACTCTTGGCTCAGAAGCTACGGAGACCGGTGTCGTTGATGCACGCATCTGGGCAGGAGGTCTTGTCGCCTTTGTTGGTGCAAGACGCTTCGTCGAATGGCGCTTCCCGGGCCTCGATAGTGACGCCGAGCCTGGAGAATATGCTGGAGCTGTCAGCCTCAGCGGTGGAGGCGACTACGGCTTTGCTTTATCGTCCTTTGATGACGATTTGGTTCATTCGCCAATGCAGGAATTACTTCCGCCTTTCTTTGTGTCACAGTCTCAGTCGAATGATGCATCCTCGCTCCCCTCCTCCTGGGCCATCGTCCCGCCCAACGTGTCACATTCAGGGCTCACAACGGTCTTCATTGCACAAGGCTCAACTTTGCTCTCCCTCACTCGCTCGGCTGCTGGCCCATCCTCGATTGAAACAGCCTGTCAGGATATGCGCTTGTCGCGCGGTCCTTTCCACATTATCCGCCCCTCTCCCAACGGCAAGCTGTTGGCGCTAATGACAGCCGATCTCGTTCTTTGGGTCGTTAGCGCTGACTTCTCTCGCAGTCTCAGCGAGTTTGACATCCGCGCTAGCGAAGTATACCAAGATGCAACTCCCATCGATGATCCTTTCCGTTCGATGAATGGCGAGTCGGCGTCCTCTGAAGCACAGATAGGGAAGGGCGGTATCGGCGGCAGTGGCGTTCGTGCTGTTCAGTGGTGTGGCAACCATACCATTGCCCTGGCCTTCAACGACGAAGTCGTCATGGTCGGACCCTTTGGGGATACGATCCGTTATCCGTATGGCGGTCCGACACACCTGGTAGGTGAGGTCGACGGTCTCCGTATCATTGCGCCGGATCGACACGAGTTCCTGCAAAAAGTCTCTGACGTCTCCAGTCGCGTGTTTCGACCCGGCTCCAACGACCCTGCTGCATTGCTCTTCGAGGCATCGGAACAGTTCAGCTCAAAGAGCAGCAGGGCAGACGAAGGGATTCGGGCCATCCGCAGCAGTCTCCCCGACGCCGTAGATTGCTGTCTTCGTGCTGCTGCGTATGAATGGGATGTTACGTGGCAGAAGCGTCTGCTCAAAGCCGCGTCGTTTGGAAAAAGCTTCATCGAGCTCTACGACCCGACCGCTTTCGTCGACATGGCGAGGACACTGCGTGTACTCAATGCAGCACGCAATTTCCAGATTGGCATCCCGATCTCATACGAGCAGTATGTAGCTGCAGGGTCCACCGCTCTCTTGTCGCGATTGACGGCCCAAAATCATCATTTTTTGTCACTTAAAATTGCCCGTTTCCTACACATCAGACCCGATCCCATACTCAAACATTGGGCCAGAGCCAAGATCGCAAGGACCGGACCTGCACTCGGAGGCTCCGCGTTGGCCATCTCTACAGCTGAGGAGCGGCTCTGTGCTGACATTGTGCACAAGTTTCGCATGGCGACGACGCTCAACGAGCGTGTAGGTGAACTTGGAGGCCCGGAGGATGACAATGACCCGCCAGCAGCGTCCGCTTCAGCCCTCAAGGGAGTCACGTCGGCAGCAAGCGATCGAGGCGCCTCAGTCAGCTTTGCAGAAGTCGCTTGGACGGCATGGAAAGCAGGTCGCGGCAGCCTTGCAACACGCTTGCTCGAGCACGAAGCCCGCGCTATCGATCAAGTTCCTCTCTTGCTAAATATGCGAGAGGAAAAGCTCGCGCTCGTCAGAGCCGTCGAGTCTGGGGATACAGATCTAGTTTATCATGTGTTATTGCGACTCAAAAAACAACTCTCGCGCGGAGAATTCTTCCGCATCGTGCAAGCGCCTGTATCGGACGCTTCAATGTCAGCAGCTGGGCAAGCAAGCACAGATCGCACGCACGGTACTTCAAAGCTGGCGTCCACGCCTCAGTACCTATCGCTTGCATCCAACTTGCTCGAGTCGTACGCAAAGCAAGTGGACCGTGACCTGCTCAAAGATTTTTACTACCAGGACGATCGCAGAACCGACTCGGCGATTTTGGCACTCGAAGAAGCGAATGCAATCAGAAGTCCCTCAGAGAGCGAGCTTCCGGACAAGGTGTTCAAACTCAAGACTGCCATGAAGTTCTTTGGGGAGGACAAGGAGAGAGTACTCGACGCAAAGGTAAGTTTTCGTGCGCAGATGCTGAGTTTGATGTTGTGATTTCTTGAATTGATACTGATACATGCATCCTTCTCTGTCGATGCTTTTTGTCCTCGCACAATGTATGTAGCTTGTGGACGAGCAAATCCGCTTGATAGCCGTCCAGCAAGCACTGGAAAAGGAGGACGGCCATCGCAGTCAGTACACGGGCCTCTCCCTAAACGGGACCATTCGGCAGCTCCTGTTTCGCAACATGTCCAAAAAGGCAGAAAAGCTGCGATCAGATTTCAAGGTACCCGACAAGCGCTACTGGAACATCAGGCTCGATACTCTGATCCAGAGCAAGAACTGGGATGGACTCTGGACGTTTGCCAATTCCAAGCGATCACCCATCGGATTCACGCCGTTCATCGTAAGGCTCGTCGAACAGAATCACGTGCAAGAATCGAGGCGCTTCGTGCCAAAGCTTCAGGACAAGGTAGATCGCAATGCTTTCAACACGTATCTCGCGAGGTTGCCAGATCAGAAGATTGCCAATCAGCTTTTGGATCGTTTCAATGAGTAAGAGGAGCATGTGCGCACTTATTGTACCGAGCAGAGTTGTATATGTCTATTGCAAACGTCCGCTTACATGCAATGCCATGGCGTGTGGGCGCACTCGTGACTGTGTCTTGGCCGATACTAATTTCGGAAAGGCGGTCGCGAAGATCGTCAACCTTCGTTGAAAGAGCCTCGAGTTGTGAGACAGGCATCGCAACTGGCGGCAGTGGCCGGATTGAGAAGCGTACACACTTGGCACGGCCATTCTTGTGACGCTGCCGACGGGCCTGGACTGGGCCATGACAGAGTCGTCTGGAGCATTAATATGGGGTTAACATCCTCCTCGTCAGATGATAGGATCTCTATTGGTTCCCGCTGCGTATTGCGCTTTGAGTTGTCGGGGGTTAACCTTGTCATCTTTAAGTTGTCTGGCGCCGATTTGCTCGAGCAGGGAACAGGCATACGGGCAATGGAACAGAAGTCTTGCCAATCGTCACTGGTCGAGCAGATCATGCCGCCCTGCTTGATTTCATGTTGGCGATAGAGACGGGAACGATCGAGACGCTCCATCTCGCTTTCCCGGCTTGCAAATGTCGATGGCTCGGGTGGGTCTTTCTCTGTCTTTAGTCGGACCAATGGGGTGTTGGACAAGTCGGTCGTCTCTGATTCGTCAGAGGAATTGTCGTCCAGGCGGATGACAAGAGCACCTTCCTTACTATCTTGATCATCTTCTGTCTCGCTTCCCGAAGCAGTCTCTTCCTCGTCTTTGACCTTATCTCTGCCACTTTCAGAGGTCGATGGGCTCGCGAAACTTGACTTTTGGTCATTGTCCTGGGGCCAGAAAGCATCCCGTCTGTCATCAGCAGCTTGAAGTTGGAAGTCCTCAGTCTTGAGGAGATTGAGGCGGCGCATAGCGGCCTGAGCTCTTAGTTCGCGAGCCGATGCTGTCTGAGCTCGTTTGCGGAACGTTGAGTTTGGGTCCTGTTTATAGACCGCGTTGAGCGCAGAGGCTCTGGGAAGGTGATTATGACCATCGACACGCGAGCTTTGTCCAGGTAAAAGCGTCTGCACGCGCCTCCCTCCCTTAGTGTTGGGCGCTGTTTGAGCGCCCGTACGAAGATTAGGTCCCCGAAAGACCTGTTTGCGAGAGCCCGAAGCAGCGGTGGTGCGACGACGTTTCCTGGTCTGACGTTTGGCTTTGCTCTGAAAAGCACCGCCACAAGAATATTCGGGTAAGCCTTGCAGCGAGTCCATACCGTTCCCGGCAACAAATGCGTTATCTTCGAGACGTTGACCGGCGGACCAGAATCCATCGCCGTAGTAGCCTCGAGCTTGAAGATTTCTACACTCATTGCGCAGTTCACGATCAAGTTTGCCATGTTGGGAAGGAATGTGGTTCATGTACTTGATATGAGCTAGCTCGTGGCAAAAGACCATCAGCACCCAGTGCAGTGGTGCAAACGAACCGTCTTGACGTCGCAGCACCAGCTCGATCGTCTCACCATTATTCCAGTTACGCCCCGCAAACTCGCGATTCCATTCGAATTCTTCCAGTGAGTTGATCTGAAAGCCATGTT